ATGCGCCCCCCTGCCCCTCGTCTCCCCCTCCTCCTCCTCCTCCGCGCGGCCCCGCTGCTCCGACGACGACGGCGAGAACAACAAACACGACGACGACGACGACGACGACGCGGCGACCCTTTTCCGCACACCGCAGCGAGCCATTTTAACGCGCCGGTAATGAGAACACTTGTTATCGCCCGGGAGAGGGGCGCGTGGCGTGGCGCGGCGCCGGGGGAGGCAGGGGCAGGCAGGAGGTGGCGCCTGGCGCGCCACCAGTGTAAGGGCGAGCCCCGACCGCCGGCGATGAATATTTTAGCCGGTCCTGATGACTCCGCTCGGCTCCGCTCGCTCGCCGCCGCTGCTGCACCCCTTTCCTACCTGGCCGGCGAGGGGGTGCAGGTGCGCAGTCTCTCCCCCTCGCCCCCTGCATGCTCCTTATCTCCTATCTCACGGGCCGCTGCCGGACCAGCCGGCCCTATTTCACGACCGGACGGACGTGCAGCACGGGAGAGGCGAGGGGCTGGGATTGGTATGGGGCGCGGCGAGGAGTGGCGGCGGCCGCCCGGCCCGCCGCCCCCACGACCCTCTGCCACCACCCCCGCCCGCTCTGCACGGGAGGAGGTCGGCGTCAAAAACACGAAAGTGCTCCCTATAGCCCCCACACGAATGAAACAAAGTGCGTAGTGCGTCGAGAAGCGCCTCTATCACGGGGTGTTCCGCCTAGACGACTGTCTCCGCCGGCCGGGGCTGCGTGGGTTGAGCCTAGGACGGCGCGATGCTACACCCCCTCCCTGTGCCTATGGGCCGCCAAGCGTGACGAGGCTGGGCAGAAGGCCTCTCCAGCCCTGGAGCACCTGCAAATCGCCCAGCGCCGCCGCAACCGCCCACCTCACCCCACCCCCAATACCTCTTCAACACTCGTTACGGTTTGAAAAGATTTCCATCACGACGCGCGTTCGAGAGCGTCAGCCGGGGGCCCTGCGCGGCTCTCCCGCGACTCTCCCGCAGCGGTCTCCCGTGGAAGAGCCGCGTGGATCCACGGACACCTCCCGTCCAACGGGGAAAACGTCCTCCTGGTGGCGACCACTCGTGCAAACCCAACCCCCTCATGATTTCTGGTCGGTTGTGCTCTCTGATCCAGAAAGAGCCCGGGGTGAAATGTTTTTGCAAGCTGGGCCAGCTCTCCCCCCCCCCCTCGCCCCGCACTCATTCCGTGCGTGCACGCGTGAATTGTCGCCGCCGGGTA